GAAACCCCTGTGGATCCCCCAACTGGCGCAGAGAAGGGCTGCCCGGATGAGGGATGTGAGTGCCCCCCAGGGCCTGGCCCTTCTGCAGTGCCAAGGGGCGGGGGGGAGAGATGAGGCGAGGCTCTCTTTCGGGGCCAGGAGAAAGGCGTAGGTACCCTGCTACTCTGTCCCCGAGCCGCAATTCTGCTCTGCGGCTCCCCGCTGATCCCGCTTCGCACACGTATGCGCATGCGCGCAGCCTGCCGGCCGCGAAAGGCACAGCTATCTCGTCAGCCCAGCCAGGCAAGCCGGCGCATGCGCAGGATTCGCGGCCCGACGGCCTACAAAAGCTCCGGAGTCAGAGAACGCGCGGCCACACCGGCCATGGCGTGGCGACATCTCCTACCTGCTACCACCCGGCTCCGGCTGCGAGTCAGGAAGAGGATAAGGCCGACAAGCAGAGCCGCCGCCACCAAGTACACCACCGGGGCCACCATGACAACGGCTTCCAGGTGGAACCAGCCAGCGCATCCAGCCTGAGGCCCGGGATCTCCCAGGCCCCGCCTAACGCCCACGTGGCCCCTCCCGTTTCCCATTCTAGGCTCCGCCCACCACTCGGCCCCGCCCAGGCCGCACACTAAATTTAGAGGCCCTAATTTTTTGCTCAATCTGCTGTACAGCAATGAATGAATGAATGAATGAGCTGTATAGCAAAGTGATTCAGCTACACATATATATCCTTTTTTTTTTTTTGGCCTTGCTGCGCAACTTGCAGGATCTTAGTTCCCCAGCCAGGGATTGAACCTGTGCCCTTGGCAGTAAAAGCACAGAGTCCTAACAACTGGGCTGCCAGGGAATTCCCTACTTTTTTTTTTTTTTTAAATATTCTTTTCCATTATGGTTTATCATAGGATACTGAATATAGTTCTCTGTGCTATAGGAACACAGAAAGTAGGAGCTTGTTTATCTATTCCATATATATCAATAATAGCTTACAACTGCTAACCCTAACCTCCCACTCCATCCCTCTCCCAACCCCTCCCCCTTGACAATCACAAGTCTGTTCTATATGTCTGTGAGTCTGTTTCTGTTTCATAGATAGGCTCACTTGTCATATATTAGATTCCACATATAAGAGATATATAGTATTTGACTTTCTCTTTCTGACTTACTTCACTTAGTATGATAATCTCTAGTTGCATCCGTGTTGCTGCAAATGAAAGGCCCTAATTTTTAACTTTAAAATGAATTCTAGGGGAGTAAAAAAAGTTAAGTGGAAATTATTGCAAATGGTTATGTGCAGCGTGACATTTATGTATGTTTTCAAAGCACTAAACAATACCACAGTGTTTATGGAAGCACACATATGCAGAAAAAGTAGAAAAGATGCTTGGGAATGATACATACCAACTTCAGAATAGCAGTTACCTTTGGGGAGGGAAGAAGTTGGATGGCATTAACAGCAGAGCTTTGCCTATATCTGTGACATCTGACCTCATTAAAAGTAGAGACCAAATCTTCAAAAAAAATAAATTGTAATATACTTTTGTACTCAGACTTGCAATTTTAAAGTAACTTATTGGGTTGTACAAGAATTATTGATCCAATTTTCCATAGTGAGCACTAGGAAATTAAATACAGGGAATTTAAATTTTCTTTTAATTCTTGACACTGTTAAAAAAGAAAAACAAAACTGGGACTTCCCTGGCAGTCCAGTAGTTAAGACTCAGCACTTCCAATGCAGAGGGTGCGGGTTCGATCCCTGGTCTGGGAACTAAAATCCCACATGCCATGTGGTGCAGCCAAAAAAAAAAAAACAACCAACCAACCAACAAAAAAAAACTGGAGACAAATTCTACCTCAATAAAGTTGTGTAAAAAAAACCCTAGAGACAGGATGTAAATTCAAGACTTTTTAAAAAGCAAAGAACAACTAAACCACTAGGAATTTGCTATTACAGTAGTATGAAGATTTTGTGTGTATGATGACATAAAGATCCCAGGACCCATGATGTGTGTATAGGGGAGGATTTGAAAAAATATGGACACACGTTAACACTTTAACATATGTTAAATTGGAATGGTGGGAACTTGAGCATTTATGATTTTCTGTAATTCTGAAATAGTTCAATAATTTATAAACAAGCAAAAAGGGCAGGACAGTGCTTTTAAAACATATAAATGTTGATAATCGTTAAAGCTGGTCAGTGGTTATATAGGGGCTCATTATACTGCTTTTTTTTTTTTTGGTAAGTTTGACATTTTTGTGCAAGTTTGAAATTTTCCGTAATAAAAATATTGTTAAAAAGTAAAAATTAAGACGATACATTTTTGTGTGTAATTTGCATGTGCATAGAAAGTTGTTTGGAAAGGCGAAACAAGAAACTGTCAATAGATATAACTTCCTTGCTGCCTCAGATTATATCACTTTCACAGCTTTCATTTGGAGTTCTCAGATTGTCAGGGTCCTGGACCCTAAGCATATTGCTTAGGGTTTGTGGGCAGACTGAGTGGGGTGGAAGATGGCAGGGAGAACAACAGTGAGACAGCTGCTGCCCTGGTCCAGGTAAGAACAGAACAGGGCTGGATTGATGACAGTAGCATTGGACTGGTGAGGAGGGGACTGATTCAAGAACTAATTCAGAGGCAGAATTGATAGGACCTGACAATCTCCTTCGAGGGCAAGAATTGTCCTTCTTTGCTTAACTTGGTTTCCTCCACAATGAGGGAAGGGCAATTCCAAAGAGATTTTCTGTCATATTCCTTGCTAAAGGAAATAAAAATTTACATTTTAGGGACTTCCCTGGTGGCACAGTGGTTAAGAATCCGCCTGCCAATGCAGGGGACATGGGTTCGAGCCCTGGTCCGGGAAGATCCCACATGCTGTGGAGCAATTAAGCCCGTGCACCACAACTACTGAGCTGCGCTCTAGAGCCCGCTAGCCACAACGACTGGGCCCATGTGCCACAACTGCTGAAGCCAACGCACCTAGAGCCCATGCTCCACAACAAAGAAAAGCCATCGCAACGAGAAGCCCACGCGCTACACTGAAGAGTAGCCCCCGTTCGCCGCAACTAGAGAAAGACTGCACGCAGCAACGAAGACCCAACCCAGCCAAAAATTTAAAAAATAATAATTAAAAAAAATTTACATTTTAATTCTGGCATAGGCTACTTAATGAATGAATAATGCAGTCCCCTTCCTTTCTGCTCAGAGAAACTAAGAACCTATTTATGTTGGCTCACCAGTTAAGTGAAGCAATTGATACATTTCTTTTTTGTTTTGTTGTTGCCTAAGAGGATTTCTGTCACTTGCAACCAAGGATCCTAACTAAAGATCACACATACACAAACTTCTGCATACAATTTTAGGTATTCACACATCTCCTTCCTCCCCTCCCCCCCCACCCTGCCAAGCTCTTGGGCTCCAAGACCTTCAGATTTATCTAACTATTTACTATTTATTTATTGGCTTGTGGGATCTTAGTTCCCTGACCAGGGACTGAAGCCGGGCCTTCGGCAGTGAAAGCACAGAGTCCTAATCACTGGACAGCCAAGGAATTCCCCAAGACCTTCAGATTTAGAGTGAGGTCTATCTAAAGTGAATACTCATTTCCAATACTCCATGCTTAATAACCCTGTAGCTGAAGCTTTCAACAGTCAGGAGGTCAGGAGGCTTTGCTGACGGAAACCTCTTCTGCCCCTCCACCTCCCTGAAGATTCACCATGACTTCATGAATTAGGAAGACAAATGACATAGAGGGAAGGCAACCACTTCCTGATGTAAACCACTACTTCTCAGGCCAACTCCAAGGAGCCTCCCAAATCACATGGTAGAAAGGGATCACATGGTAGAATGGGAAACTTCAGGACCTGCCTTAGGACAGTGAGGCCTTTTGGCCTATGCAATACTCCCGCTATGGTAAAGTCATTGAGCAACGGGATTTTTTTCCCCTCCGAGGACAAATTCTGGGATCTAAAAAAAAAAAAATCATCCAGATTATTAGAAGTCTTTAACATTAACGAAAATAACTCATACAGGCATTGACAGTCCTCCAGACTTCCGATGGCACTCCTCTGACAGGAGTTGCCTCACCAGGAGTAGAGCTGGCCCTGAATCTGCCCTTACTGTTAACCTTTGGTTGCTGAGTCCATGAAGGAGGGAGACAGCTGAATTGCCCAGTGGGGGTGTCAGCAGTGGGTCAAGGCCTATCACACAGGTGGGTCTGCTGGGGCACTTTCTACTCTTTGCTGTGTTGGGGATGAAAAGATGTGGCTGAGAAGGGATGATGGACTTAAAGGACTGGAGGGATGAGGTAATAAGGGAGTCGAAATGCTGAAGTCGTAAATCTGGGAGACAGGGGAAAAGACCGGGCTAGATTTAGGCTATGCCAAGTTTAAGATCATAGTCAGAGCTGGCAAGCAAGGAGGAGCTAAGGAAGCGAGGCTGAAGGTGAGGTCAGGATAAAGACCCAGGTTTGGGGGCCCTTGTCCAGAAGGAAACAGTTTCCAGAGACAGCTTTAGAGTGCCCGCGGTTAAGGCGAATCGTCCAGAGCCTAGGCAGTTCATCACCAGCCTCGAGGTAGGTACGCTGGGCTTCTTTGCTTCCTCGGTGTCCCTGTTCCAGAGAGGGGCGAAAGCAGGGGTGGGGCAGGTGGCTGGAACGGTCTCTTCTGACCTTGAGGAGAGCGTCTCTTTGCGGGAGGAACTGGTCTCGGCTTACACAACCTCCAGCGTTGGGAAGACCCCAGCAAATCCGACGCAAGAGGGCCGAGCCCTTCTCCTTCCTTCTAGCGCCCGGGGCCCCAGGCTGCTCAAACGAAAAGGGCGCTGTGCTCCTGGGTATCTGAGCAAGAATTCTGGACGCCCAGCGCAGCCTTCCCGCCCCTAAGGTGCCCAGACTGCAGCTGCCGCCGCCATTACAGCGCGCAGCACGCAACAAAACCCACAGCCTGCTTTCCTGGGACCCGAGGCCGGAAACCGGGCCACCCCCTTCCGCCGCCAGGCGGAAGTAGAGGGGCTTCCGGTGAACCTGCCAGGTACTTGTGGCTCACAATGGCGGCCTCCTTGTCCGGGAAGAAGGTCGTGTTTGTCACGGGGAACGCCAAGAAGCTGGAGGAGGTGACGGTGGGGGGTGGGGGGGGGGGGGGAAGCCGACCAGGAGGCGGTTGGGGGGTAGCGTGTGGCAAGGTTGGCTGGGGAGAAGGCGGAGAAGTGGCTTCCAGGCGGAGGGAAGCACGCGGGTGCAAGAGCAGAGGGGGAACAGAGTCCGACCCGGAGGGATGGGTTGGATCGGGAAGGGGATGGGCCGCGTGGAGTGGACCAGCACGTGTGCGGAGTGGGGGTGACCCGGGGTTGGACTCGATAGAATGAGGGCCTTGACAAATCCGGGCACAGGGCTTGTGAGCTTAGGGGCATCGGGAGGTGAAGGAGTGGTGGGGTCCTTAACACTTGTCCCAAAGGTCACCTCTTAAGCTAGGTCCCAAACCGGGACCCTGACACCCCTCTGGAGCGGATCCAGACCCCACTGCTGGCCTGGGATTGGCAGGGGCCGGACAGGGTGTGGGGAGAGGCATCCAAACTGAGTTCCACACCCCACCACGGTCCAGAAATGTGGTCCTCAGCCTCTCCCAGCCTCTTTCCGCCATCTGTGAAATGGCCATTATGCAGGAGGTCTTCACAGCGCAATGGAGAGGAGGAGTGAAGGAGGCAGTGGATCCAAAGTTCCTGCCTACCGGGACTTTGTGGTCAGCTCTGAGAATTCTGGGGTTTGATGGAACCGCTTTGGCTGCAAATAGTAGAGAGACACAGGGAGCTCATGTAAACAGCCAGGTGACAATCGTGGGAATACAATGGTATGCTGTCCCACAGGGCTTGAGGAGTCTTTCTCAGGAGTCCCTATCGAGGGATTTATTTGTCCTTCTAGTTCTTTCTGGATGCTCATCCCTTTTCCTTTTGAGGTCTTTCTGCATTTTTCCCTTCTGATGGAGGAGGCAGTAAGGCTTCTGCCAGACATCAGCTCTGATTGGCCTTGCTTGGATCAAAGGTTTGCCCTTACTTAGTCAGCCATGGTCAAGGAGGTGGGTCATGTGTGGGGAATCAGGATGACACCCACTAGATGTCTGAGGCAAACCAATGGGGTGCAGTCATTAGGGTCATTTGTCTACAGCATAGGGACCAATGACACTTGCGTGCTGTTACAGGGTGGCCTCAGAAGTCAGAGCCCTGTGCTGATAAAAGGTTTGGGATCTTGAGGCCAGACCAGACAAGCAGACAGGCAGTGCCACACTGAACAGAGCCCCATGCAAGGTGGTGGGTGCCAGCTCCCAAAGCCATCTCTACCTCTGGTTGAGAATGTGGCCCTCCCACATTTAAAGAAGAGGGAGGGAATTCCCTGGAATTCCAGTGGTTAGGATTCGAGCTTTCACTGCCGGGGCCCAGGTTCGATCCCTGGTCGGGAAACTAAGATCCTGTAAGCCATGTGGCACGGCCCCCCCCCAAAAAAGGAGAAAAAAATAGAAGATGCTGGAGTGGCCAGAGGAGGCTCACTGGAGAAAATGGACTTGAAGTTGGCCTAAAATAGGGAGTTTTAACTCTTCATCTCATGGTACCCCATTTGCAGAGTGATGAAGCCTCTGGACCCTTTCTCAGGAAAATATTTTTAAATGTACAAAATAAAATACATAGGATTACAAAGGAAATCAATTCTATTGATTTACAATTCTCAAAATATTATAAATATTTGTGATCCAGTTACATATGCTTTATTAATGCATACCGAGCTGATCTCCCTGTGCTATGCCCCTGCTTCCCACTAGCTATTTTACATTTGGTAGTGTGTATATGTCGATGCTTCTGTCACTTCGCCCCAGCTTCCCCCTGCCCCGGTGCCGTGTCCTCAAGTCCATTCTGTATGTCTGCGTCTTTATTCCTGCCCTGCCACTAGGTTCATCAGTACCATTTTTTTTTAGATTCCATATATATGCGTTAGCATACGGTATTTGTTTTTCTCTTTCTTTACTTTTTTTCTTTACTTCACTCTGTATGACAGACTCTAGGTCCATCCACCTCACTACAAAAAACTCTGTTTTGTTTCTTTATATGGCTGAGTAATATTCCATTGTATATATGTGCCACATCTTCTTTATCCATTCATCTGTCAGTGGACATTTAGTTTGCTTCCATGTCCTGCCCATTGTAAATAGTGCTGCAATGAATATTGTGGTGCATGTCTCTTTTTGAATTATGGTTTTCTCAGGGTATATGCCGAGTAGTGGGGTTTGCTGGGTTATGTGGTAGTTCTATTTTTAGTTTTTACTGCATCTCCATACTGCTCTCCATAGTGGTTGTATTAATTTACATTCCTACCAACAGTGCAGGAGGGTTCCCTTTTTACCACACCCTCTCCAGCATTTATTGTTTCTAGATTTTTTGATAATGGCCATTCTGACCAGTGTGAGGTGATACCTCATTATGGTTTTGATTTGCACGTCTCTAATAGTGATGTTGAGCATCTTTTAATGTGCCTCTTGGCCATCTGTATGTCTTCTTTGGTGAAATGTCTATTTAGGTCTTCTGCCCATTTTTTAATTGGGTTTTTTCTTTTCTTTAATGTATTTTATTTTATTTTAATTTATTTTTTATGTTTGGCTGCGTTGGGTCTTCGTTGCTGTGTGCGGGCTTTTCTCTGGTTGTGGTGAGCAGGGGCTACTCTTTGTTGCGGTGCATAGGCTTCTCATTGCGGTGGCTTCTATTGTTGTGGAGCATGGGCTCTAGGCGCGCGGGCTTCAGTAGCTGTGGCACAGGGGGTCAGTAGTTGTGGCTTGCAGGCTCTAGAGCGCAGGCTCAGTAGCTCGGTAGTTGTGGCGTACAGGCTTAGTTGCTCCGCGGCATGTGGGGTCTTCCCAGACTAAGGCTCAAACCTGTATCCTCTGCTTTGGCAGGTGGATTCTTAACCACTGCGCCACCAGGGAAGCCCGGGCTGTTTGTTTTTTTGATATTGAGCTCCATGAGCTGTTTGTATATTTTGGAGATTAATCCTTTGCTCATTGTTTCATTTGCAAATATTTTATCCCATTCTGAGGGCTGTCTTTTCGCCTTGTTTATGGTTTCCTTTGCTGTGCAAAAGCTTTTAAGTTTAACTAGGTCCCATTTATTTTTGTTTTTATTTTCATTACTCTAGGAGGTGGGTCAAAAAACATCTTGCTGTGGTTTATGTCAGAGTGTTTTTCCTATGGTTTCCTCTAAGAGTTTTATAGTGTCTGGTTTTACATTTAGGTCTTTAATACATTTGGAGTTTATTTTTATTTTTATTTTTTTTGGAGTTTATTTTTGTGTGTGGTGTTAGGTGGTGTTCTAATTTCATTCTTTTACATGTAGCTGTCCAGTTTTCCCAGCACCACTTAGTGAAGAGGCTGTCTTTTCTCCATTGTATGTTCTTGCCTCCTTTGTTGTAAATTAGGTGACCATATGTGCATGGGTTTATCTCTGGGCTTTCTATCCTGTACCTTGATCTATATTTCTGTTTTTGTGCCAGTACCATAATGTCTTGATTACTGTAGCTTTATAGTATAGTTTGAAATCAGGGAGCCTGATTCCTCCAGCTCCATTTTTCTTTCTCAGTATTGCGTTGGCTATTCAGGATCTTTTGTGTTTCCATACAAATTGTAAAATTTTTTGTTCTAATTCTGTGAAGAATGCCATTGGTAGTTTGATAGGGATTGCATTGAATCTGTAGATTGCTTTGGGTAGTATAGTCATTTTCATAATATTGATTCTTCCAATCCAAGAATATGGTATATTTCTCCATCTGTTTATGACATCTTTGATTTCTTTCGTCAGTGCTTTATAGTTTTCCAAGTATAAGTCTTTCGCCTCCTTAGATAGGTTTATTCCTAGGTATTTTATTCTTTTTGTTGCAGTGGTAAATGGGATTGTTTCCTTAATTTCTCTTGCTGATTTTTCGTTGTTAGTATATAGGAATGCCAGAGATTTCTGTGCATTAACTTTGTATCCTAAAACCTTACCAAATTCGTTGATTAGTTCTAGTAGTTTTCTGGTGGCATCTTTAGGATTTTCTCTGTATAGTATCATGTCATCTGCAAACAGTGACAGTTTTACTTCTTATCCAATTTGTATACCTTTTATTTCTTTTTATTCTCTGATTGCCATGGCTAGGACTTCGAAAACTATGTTGAATAAGAGTAGTGAGAGAGGACATCCTTGTCTTGTTCCTCATCTTAGAGGAAATGCTTTCAGTTTTTCACCATTGAGTATGTTTGCTTTGGGTTTGTCCTATATGGCCTTTATTATGTTGAGGTAGTTTCCCTCTATGCCCATTTTCTGGAGAGTTTTTATTGGAAAAGGGTGTTGAATTTTTTCAAAACCTTTTTCTGCATCTATTGAGATGATCACATGGTTTTTATTCCTTAATTTGTTAATATGGTGTATCACATTGATAGATTTGCGTATATTGAAGAATCCTTGCATCTGATGTATGATCCTTTTAATATGTTGTTGGATTCTGTTTGCTAGTATTTTGTTCAGGATTTTTGCATCTATGTTTATCAGTGATATTGGACTATAGTTTTCTTTTTTTGTGATATCTTATTCTGGTGTTGGTATCAGGGTGATGGTGGCTTCATAGAACGAATTTGGGAGCGTTCCTCTCTCTGCAGTTTTTTGGAAGAGTTTGAGAAGGATCAGTGTTAGCTCTTCTCTAAATGTTTGATAGAATTCACCTGTGAAGCCATATGATCCTGGACTTTTGTTTGTTGGAAGATTTTTTATATATATAAATTTATTTATTTTTACTTATTTACGTTTGGCTGCGCTGGGTCTTCGTTGCTGCGCGTGGGCTTTCTCTGGTTGCAGCAAGCCGGGGCTACTCTTTGTTATGGTGCACAGGCTTCTCAATGTGGTGGTTTCCCTTGTTGTGGAGAATGGGCTCTCGGCAGGGGGGCTTCAGTAGTTGTGGCTCGTGGGCTCTAGAGCATAGGCTCAGTAGGTGCGGCACATGGGGTTAGTTGCTCTGTGGCATATGGGGTCTTCCCGGACCAGGGATTGAACCTGTGTCCCCTGCATTGGCAGGCAGATTTTTAACCACTACGCCACCAGGGAAGTCCTGTTGGAAGATTTTTAATTACAGTTTCAATTTCATTACTTGTGATAGGTCTGTTTATATTTTCTAATTCTTCCTGGCTCAGTCTTGGAAAATTGTACATTTCCAAGAATTTGTCCATTTCCTCATGGCTGTCCATTTTATTGGCATATAGTTGTCTGTAGTAGTCTCTTATAATCCTTTGTATTTCTGCAGTGTCAGTTGTGATTTCTCCTTTTTCATTTCTAATTTTATTGATTTGCGCCTTTTTTCTTGATGAGTCTGGCTAAGGGTTTATCAATTTTGTTTATCTTCCCAAAGAACCAACTTTTAGTTTTATTGATTTTTGCTGTTGTTTTCATTTCTGTTTCATTTATTTCTGCTCTGATCTTTATGATTTCTTTCCTTCTACTGACTTTGGGTTTTCGTTGTTCTTCTTTCTCTAGTTGCTTTAGGTGTAGGCTTAGATTGTTTATTTGAGATTTTTCTTGTTTCTTGAGGTGTGATTGAATTGCTATAAACTTCCTTTTGCTGCATCCCATAGGTTTTGAATCATCGTGTTTTTGTTGTCATTTGTTTCTATGTATTCTTTTATTTCTTTGATTTCTCCAGTGATCTCTTGGTTACTTAGTAGTGCACTGTTTAGTCTCCATGTATTTGTGTTTTTTACAGTTTTTTTCCTGTAATTGATTTCCACATAGCAGTGTGGTCAGAAAAGATGCTTGATACAATTTCAATTTTCTTAAATTTTCCGAGGCTTGATTTGTGACCCAAGATGTGATCTGTCTTGGACATTGTTCCGTGTGCACTTGAGAAGGAAGTGTACTGTGCCACTTTCGGGTGGAATGTTCTATAAATATCAATTAAATCTATCTGGTCTGTTGTGTCATCTAAAGCTTGTGTTTGCTTATTTATTTTCTGTTCGGATGATCTGTCCATTGGGGTAAGTGAGGTGTTAAAGTCCCCTACTATTATAGTGTTACTGTTGATTTCCGCTTTCATGGTTGTTAGCATTTGCCTTATGTATTGAGGTGCTCCTATGCTGGGTGCATGAACTGTTATAATTGTTATATCTTCTTCTTGGATTGATCCCTTGATCATTATGTACTGTCCTTCCTTATCTCTCGTAACAGTCTTTATTTTAAAGTCTATTTTTTAAAATAAATTTATTTATTTTATTTTTTAATTTTTGTCTGTGTTGGGTCTTTGTTGCTGTGCATGGGCTTTCTCTAGTTGTGGCAAGCAGGGGTTACTCTTCATTGCGGTGTGCAGGCTTCTCATTGAGGTGGCTTCTCTTGTTGCATAACACAGGCTCTAGGCACACAGGCTTCAGTAGTTGTGGCACACGGGCTCGGTAGTTGTGGCTCACAGGCTCTAGAGCGCAGGCTCAGTAGTTGGGTGCATGGGCTTAGTCTCTGCACAGCATGTGGGATCTTCCTGGACCAGGGATCGAACCTGTGTCCCCTGCATTGGCAGGCAGATTCTTAACCACTGCACCACCAGGGAAGCCCTAAAGTCTATTTTATCTGATATGAGTATTGCTACTCCAACATTCTTTTGATTTCCATTTGCATGGAATATATTTTTCCATCCCTTCACTTTCAGTCTGTATGTGTTCCTAGGTCTGAAGTGGGTCTCTTGTAGACAGCATATATACGGGTCTTGTTTTTGTATCTATTCAGCCAGTCTGTGTCTTTTGGTTGGAGCATTTAATCCATTTACATTCAAGGTTGTTATCGATATGTATGTTCCTATTACCATTTTCTTAATTGTTTTGGGTTTGTTTTTGTGGGTCTTTTTCTTCTCTTGTGTTTCCTGCCTAGAGAAGTTTTTTTAGCATTTGTTGTAAAGCTGGTTTCATGGTGCTGAATTCGCTTACCTTTTGCTTGTCTGAAAAGCTTTTGATTTCTCTGTTGACTCTGAATGAGATCCTTGCTGGGTAGAGTAATCTTGGTTGTAGTTTTTTCTCTTTCATCATTTTAAGTATATCCTGCCACTCCCTTCTGGCCGGCAGAGTTTCTGCTGAAAAATCAGTTGATAATGTTATGGGGATTCCTTTGTATGTTATCTTTTGCTTTTCCCTTGCTGCTTTTAATATTTTTTCTTTGAACTTAATTTCTGTTAGTTTGATTAATATGTGTCTTGGTGTGTTTCTTCTAAGGTTTATCCTATATGGGACTCTGCGCTTCCTGGACTTGGGTGGCTATTTCCTTTCCCATGTTAGGGAAGTTTTCTACTATAATCTCTTCAAATATTTTCTCAGACCCTTTCTTTTTCTCTTCTTATTTGGTACCCCTATAATTCAAATGTTGGTGTGTTTCGTATTGTCCCAGAGGTCTCTGAGATTGTCTTCGATTCTTTTCATTCTTTTTTCTTTATTCTCCTTGGCAGCTATTTCCAGCAGTCTGTCTTCCAGCTCACTTATATTTGTTCTTTTGCCTCAGTTATCCTATTATTGATTCCTTCTAGTGTATTTTTCATTTCAGTTACTGTGTTTTCATCTCTGTTTGTCCTTCAGTTCTTCTAGAACTTTGTTAAATATTTCTTGTATTTTCTTAGTCTGTGCCTCCATTCTACTTCTGAGATTCTGGATCATCTTTACTACCATTACTCTGAATTCTTTTTCAGGTAGCTTGCCTATTTCCTCTTCATTTATTTGGTCTTATAGGTTTTTACCATGCTTCTTCATCTGTGACATACTTTTTTACCCTCTCATTTTTTCTGATGGGTGGGATTGTGTTCCTGTTTAACTGGTTGTTTGGCCTGAGGCTTCCAACACTGGAGTTTGTAGGCTGTTGGGTAGAGCTGGGTCTTGGTGCTGAGATGAGGACCTCCGGGAGACCTCACTCCAATGAATATTTCCTGGGGTCTGAGGTTCTCTTGTTAGTCCAGTGGTTCAGACTCAGAGCTCCCATCGCAGGAGCCATTCACTTGGGGGTTCTTCCCGTCTCCTTGGGCGTCAAGGTCCCTCACCACCATCTGGCAGGCGTCCTAGTTGTAGGGAGACACAAACTCTGTGTCTTCCCATGCCGCCATCTTGACTCTGCCCCTTGTAAATGATATTTTGAGATATCTGCTACAACTCTAATGGGATGTGACAACATCTGTGATTTTAATAGGTTTAAATATCACAGGAGATGCTAATGCTATTTGTGTTTGTCTTCTATATTCACTATTGAAAGGGATGCTAAATTTCAGGTAGGGGTTAGTGAAAATAAAGCTTTTTTTTTTTTTTTTCTAATCCAAGTTCACAGATCTCCTGAATTCTGGGTAACCCCTGATAGAAAATTCCTGGCCCAAAGGATAGGTTTTGGGAGCACTGAGAAGGGAAGAGGGTGTTCTAGGTAGGTGGTTAGCATGAACAGAGACCTGAAGTAGGAGGGGGGGATTGGAGAGTGAGGAGATGGGGGAGCTGACCTGCTGGGGTGGGACCCTGAAGGCTGGGGTGAGGCTCGTGGGCCTGACTTGGTGAGCTTTAGGGGACTGACAGGAGAGTTACCTGATGAGAAAAGTGGGTGACAGCTTGTGTAGTAATGGGGAATAGTTAAACAAATGGTGATAAATGTTCTTTCATTTTGGAACAGGTCATTCAGATTCTAGGAGATAAGTTTCCATGCACTTTGGTGGCACAGAAGATTGACCGTATGTCTCTGATTAGTTCTATTTTTAAAAGATGATTCAATTTCTCTCTCTCTCTGTGACCTGACTGTGTGTCTGTTTCTCTGATAAGTGCCAGAGTACCAAGGAGAGCCTGATGAGATTTCCATTCGGAAGTGTCAGGAGGCAGCTCGCCAGGTGCTTGCTCCACACATGTCTTGTACTTGCGCCTCTTGTCCTGGTGGCTCCTGGGGTCTGTGCCTGCTGGGGATGGGTAGAGAATATGGTGGGCACAGTTTATAATGACTTGAAAGACGTTTCCAGGCTTAGCTAGGCTGGAGTCAGTTAATATTGGCTCTGGAATACTGCCTTCCTTTCTCAACCTTGACTGCGTAGTATCCCCCTAGATGACCACACACACACAAAATTCACTCTTCCCAATTCTCAGGTACATACATTCCACCCCTACATTCTCCTCACATACATCCACCCTGCACTCACACATCTCTGTGGAACTGAAAAAGAGTGCTTTGTAAACAGTCAGGCTGCTTGAGTATGAATCCCAGCTCTCCTGTCACTGTACCTGGAGCAAACTTTACAACCTGCCAAGGCTTTGGTGTCCCTACCTTTAAAATGAAGATAAGAGATTAGTCAACGGTTGTTACCCAGAGCAGATGGACCTCTATCTGCTGCTGCTGTTACACATCCCAGCTAGCTGTGAGTGTGGCCCTGGCTTGGGTGGCAGGGGAATTCAGGGTGGAGATGGGGCCTGCTGCTGGATGCGGGTCTCAGGGCTGCATGTTCTTGTGCTGCAGGTGCAGGGCCCTGTACTGGTGGAGGACACCTGTCTGTGCTTCAACGCCCTTGGGGGCCTCCCTGGCCCCTACATGTGAGTGTTCCCCCACCCTTTTGCAGGGCCCTGGCCACAAAACCACTTGAACTTTGAAATGATTTGTTACTTGATACTGCGGGTCATTCACTGTCTTGGCATCAACACCAGTATATCAGATTGTCTTGAGGGAGGATTAGGGATGGGGAAGAGGCATACCTTTCTTTTGTAAAGTGTGAGAATGTTATTGTGTAAGTTGAGATGGGCAAGGGGAACTCACCCATTGGAGAGGTACATTCGTGGGCCGATCAGTTTCAGGAAAGAGGAAATAAGGAAGTTGAGATCTGCAGATGGATTTCCTTAAAGCTATCCAGTACCCTGGACCCCCTCAGAAGGTCTTTGTGTATCTCTAGGGTACAAATACCCCAATTTGTTAGGTCTTGGGTATGTATACAGTTGACCCTTGAACAACTCGGGGGGGTTAACCTGCGTTTAACTTACAGTTGGCCTTCCATATCAGTGAATTCAACTGTATATTACTGTAGTATTTACTGCTGAAAAATATCCATGTATAAGTGAACATATGCAGTTCAAATTCATGTTGTTCAAGGGTTAACTGTATCTTTAACTTTTGGATTGCTAATTTGTTTGCCAAGGCAGTAGCACCCCTACACACTTACAGTGTACATTGCTCCATATTCTTACCAGCACTGTTTTATGACTTTTTAGTATTTTGTAATGGCGGGAGTGGGAAATGTTACCACATGCAATTTTAATTTGCATTTCCCTAATTACCAGTGAGATTGAGGGCTTCACTGGTTTATCAGTTCTTTTGTGGATTGCCTTTTTGTCTCCATTTCCTTTTTCCTGTTGGATTATTTCTCTTCATTTTGAGTTGAGACATTCTTTGCTCTCCCAGGGCTCTAATCCCTGGGGGACGCAGCCCAGAAACAAGGTGGTAAGAACATCCATCTGATTGTGGTGTCTGACTCACCTTTATTTCTCTTGCAGAAAGTGGTTTCTGGAGAAGTTAAAGCCTGAAGGTATTATCCCCATATCTCTTTCTTTAGACCTGTTTGAAATTAAGAATCTGTGGGTTCTACGGGAGGAGCTCCAACTAGTAATCAGGAATCTCGGGTTCCATCCCCTTCACGGAGTCTCCATTCACCTCAGTTTCCCCATCTATAATCTACAGCTCACACTCTCCCTATACACCCGGTGCCAGGGAGCACTGAGATTTGGGAGGAGTGGATAGGGTGGGGGTGGGTGGTGAGAGCTTTGCGTTTGAGGGACAAAGGGGCTCTAGTTGATTCTGGCTCAGAGAGGGACTGGCCCCACTGCTTGCTGTCCTTTCCTCAGTGGGGGGTGGGGAGGGGGACACCCTGCTGCTCCTCCTGGTCCCAGCAGCACATACCCTGAAGCCCACAGTGGTAGAATAAGGAACTCCACATCCCCATCACCCAACTTCCTGGGTTATCAGCGCAGGGCCTATTTGGTGATATGTATAACTCCCCTTCGCCACCTGGGCCCCTTGAGTGCGGAGAGGGGGGTGGGGCTGGGCAGCATAGAGTGCGCTGAGCCCTCACTGCACGTGCCCGCAGGTCTCCACCAGCTCCTGGCTGGGTTCCAAGACAAGTCGGCCTATGCACTCTGCACGTTCGCGCTCAGCACTGGGGACCCCAGCGAGCCTGTGCGCCTCTTCAGGGGCCGGACCTCGGTGCGTACCCATGCTCGTTCCCCCGAGTGCCGCCAGAGGGCGCTGTGACTCGCGATGATGCTGCAGGACTGTAGTGGGGAAGGCGCGCCCCTGGGTACCACAGCTAAAAGTGCTGTCAATCCTGAAACTTATTTGACCCCTGAGTCTGGTGTTTGGAAACGCACAGTGGCTTACAGCTGTTGGGGCCTGGTATACCCAGAGCTCTGCAGTGTATGCTGTCCTGAGAAGCAGATGTGGAAACTGAAGGACAACTCCTAGAGCTACATCTATAGCTCAGACTTCTCCAAGCTTGAATCTCCTTATCCCACTGCTGAGGCAACAGCTTCCCTTGAACATCTCACAGCCTTTCCAACTTTCTATGTTCATATAGAATCTTCCTTCTCCCCCCAACTCATTCCTTTCAAAACTGCCCTTCATTGCCCGCATGCTTACCTATCAGACCATAGGTTCAGCTGCTTCTCACAGGGTCCAGACCACCCTCTGGGCTGGCCTGCTCCCCCCTCCCCCAGCCCCAGCCCATCCATGTACCTTCAGGCACATCATTTCTCTGCTTTGTCCTTTCTGCTCAGGATAAAATCCAGAGTCCCACCATAGCTCACATAGCCCTATGCCAGTGGCTCCACCAGGGACTGTCCACAGATGTTTTACTTTACGCTCCCTGATTAGATTTTTAATTTTTGTGGTGAAAAAACAGGTAACAGAAATTACCATCTTCATTTTTAAGTGTACAATACAATAGTGTACACTGTTGTGCACCAGATCTCTAGAACTTTCTCATCTTGCAGAATTGAAACTATGCCCATTGAATAACGACTCCACCTTCCCCTCCTCTCTCCAGCACCTGGCAACCACCATTCTACTTTCTGTTGCTAAGAGTTCAGCTACCTCAGATACATCATATAAGTGGAATCCTGCAGTGTTTGTTTTTTTGTGACTGGCTTATCTCACTTAGCATAATGTCCTCAAGTTTCATCCATGTTGTAGCATGTGACAGGATCTCCTTTTTTAAGGCTGAATAATATTCCATTGTATATATATACCACTTTTTCCTTTATCCGTTTGCAGGCATACCTCATTTTGTTGAGCTTCACAGATATTATGTTTTTACAAATTGAAAGTTTGTGGCAATCCTGCATTGTCAGATGATGGTTAGCATTTTTAGCAATTAAGTATTTTTAAATTAAGGTATGTAAATTTTTTAGACATAATGCTATTGCACACTTAATAGATTACAATATAGTGTAAACATAACTTTTGTATGCAGTAGGAAACCAAAAAATTCATGTGACTTGCCTTATTGCGATAATTGCTTAATTGCAGTGGTCTGGAACTGAACCCACAATATCTCCGAGGTCTGCCTGTATTCATTGATGAACACTTGCGTGGCTTCCACTTTTTGGCTCGTTCATCATGCTGCTATGAACGTGGGTGTGCAAATATCTCTTCAAGATCCTGTTTTCATTCTTTTGGATATATATCCAGAAATGGGATTGCTGGATCATATTGCCTGGTTACATTTTTAACAGTTAGTTTTAGTGGTCTGCTACTTTCACAGAAATGTTCTCTCAAAAATCAAAAGTATGAACAACCACAGGCCCAACTTCCTGCATCATGACTGACTAGCAGCTGTGCTGCTGACGGGGCCTGATCACTTTCATCCGACCATTCCCTATTGTCTCCCCGGCTTGGGCTGCTGTTTGTACTTTGTTGCTGCCAGCCCTGACTTTAACTGAGGTAGCCTTGTTTCTCCTTGTTCTGTTCTCCCCTGTGCTTTCTAAACCCCAGCCACATTGTCCTTTCAGCAGTGTGTATGATAAGCCCTTTTCCATCTCTGGACCTCAGCACAGCTGTGTCCTCCACCTAGAATGTTCTTGCCCTAGTCCTTTATGTGGCCAAAGTGTCCCCTCCTCACTGAAGCATTCCCTGAGCTCCCCATCTTGTTATTCTTGAGCCCAGCTCCCAGTTTGTTGCCTCTAAAACACTTTGCATTTGGTAATCATTAATGTGTTTACTGATGTAATGCTTGTTTTGCTTAAGAGATCCATTCTGTGAAGGCAAGGCTAAGACTTTCTGTTTTCCTGGTGCCTACTTCGCTGAGGTGTTCAAAAAACAGTTGTTGCATGGGTGAAGTTCAGAGTGGTTCAGTAACTGGCCTCAGTCACACAGCTCCCCATTAGCAGAAGCAGAATTTGCCTTTGGTCTGAATGACTTGGAATTTATATGGCTAATCCCCATCCTCTACTACCTCCCTTGTATTTTATAAGTTTTTTTTTTTTTTTAAACTCCCAAGGTAACGTGACATCTCATGACACTGGTTATCTTTTTTTTTTTTTTTGCGGTATGTGGGCCTCTCACTGTTGTGGCCTCTTCTGTTATGGAGCACAGGCTCTGGACGTGCGGGCTCAGCGGCCATGGCTCACGGGCCCAGCCACGCTGCGGCATGTGGGATCTTCCTGGACCGGGGCACGAACCCATGTCCCCTGCATCGGTAGGCGGACTCTCAACCACTGTGCCACCAGGGAAGCCCGACACTGGTTATCTTTGTCACATTTTCCTTTTGGAATTTGCCTATTTTAGCCAGTATTTACTGAGCTCATTTTTGTGTTGAACATTGTGCAAAGTAATTTCTGTTTTTTTATTTCATTTGTTAGAGCCTCCCTTGTATTTTGAGAAATGCAGTAATAGTAGCAGGCACAGGGCTTGGCTGCAAGGTTCAGGGCCCTCAAACTTCCTATTAGGAGAAAATGTTTTCTGTCAGTCTTTCAGAGTTGCTTCTCTTCTCCAGTGAGGTCAGTTTGTCAAAGCTTCAGAGAGGGAGGGTGGTCCCAGGGGTATCTGTGGGCTAATTAAGCATGTGGTTCCTCCCTGTCTGTGGGGAGCGAGCTGTCCTGCTCTGCATCTTATCTGTGTTCAGCAAACATTTGCCAGCACCATGGACCCCTTGAAATAATATATTTTGAGTAAATAGGGTTTAACCAAATTCATAAACTAACCAAACTCAAGCTGGCTACTGCCCTCCTCACAGTGCATCTCCTCCACACCCAGTGGCACACCTGTCCCCCTTTCCTCTGGCAGGGCCAGATTGTGGTGCCCCGTGGCTGCCGGGATTTTGGCTGGGACCCCTGCTTTCAGCCTGATGGATATGAGCAGACGTAAGGAGCCCCAGTTTCTTTCAGGGGTGTGGGGTGGGGATGGCCGTGGTCTGGGTTGGGTCAGTGCCCTGCCCAGGTGCAGGCACGCGGATACAGGCGGGGCAGGCTCTGAGGTGCCGTTCCGGCTGAAGGCAGCTCTGCTGGGGTGGATGCAAGGAATCTGGGTGGCCCGGTCCACAGCTGGGAGGCAGCTGGGCATAGCTGAAGTCCTGGGCTCTTGGGCTCAGCTCAGCGCAGAGCAGCTTTGTAGCTTCAGTGGCTTCCCCGCTCTGACCTGGGCTTGTCAGCTTTGTTGGATGATTATCTGACCCCCATTTACTCTGGAAAAATGTTAGAACTTAGCCACCACGTTACCCCCCACAGTGCCAGGTGTTCTCAGTATTTCATGCTAGCCCCCACTTATTTACACGGGACATGTTGGCCATTATTGGAATCGGGTTTGTCAAGCTGGAGGAGGGCCCTTAGGGAGTGTGGCCTGAGGCCTCACAACAGCCAGGCAGGGCTGAGGACAACATGAAGCAGCACTTTGGTGACACAAAGGCTCTGTATCTGCACTGTGCAATCCGGTAGCCATTAGCCACGTGTGGCTGCGGAGCATCTGAAATGTGGTTAGAGCAACTGAGGAACAGAATTTATTTTTCTTCAGTTGTAATTGGTTTAAATGACCACAGTGGCTGGTAGCCACCATATTGGACAGCATAGATGTGAAAGTGACAACTGGAGTAGGGATTCTCACCTCACTGGAGTCCTGCCATGGATGGCAGGCCACTGGCTGGCTGTTCAAGGCTCATCTGCTGCCCCCTGCCCCCACCTGCCCGCCCCACAGTGCATTGGAGGAGATTGCTATGTTTGCTCTGTCAGGCCCCACTGCTTCCCGTCAACAGATGACAAAGCTGATAAAGCATGCAGCTCATCCCCCGCTGTCCCCAGCTTCCCTTTGATGACTTTTGGACACACTAGAACCAGTTTAAGATCCTTTCACACTCATTAATAGTATGGGTTTCTACCTACAGGGGAATTTAAGACTCTGATTTTTTAAAAATTAACTCTGGTTGCCAGGAGCTGGTAGCCCCATTACCCTTTCCTAGGGACTCTTTGAGCTTTGGGCTCCAGGATGAGGTGAGGTGTACACACCCTCCCTGAATCTGGGCCCCCTCTTCTCTGAGCTGCTACTGTTGCCCCTTAGGTATGCAGAGATGCCCAAGGCTGAGAAGAACACCATCTCCCATCGCTTCCAGGCCCTGCTTGAGTTGCAAGAATACTTTGGCAACCTGACTCCACTTGGAGCTGGTGATGACCACTCTGGCTGAGGATCCGGGGAGGGCTAGCCTGAAACCGCCTCTATCAGGCAGGCACCCATCCAAGTACTGCCTTCAGGGTTACCACTTCCTGGGGGTGTTACCAGCCATCAAGAGCAGCTGGCTCTGCTTGGAGAAACTTTGGCCAGAGGACCCCATCCTCTTGCCCTCAGGGATTCAGTGGTCTCCTACAGCCTCCAGGCCTGGAATCCGGAAAGGACCTTGGGTGTTAAAACTGGCCTTGGCAGGGTTGAGGGTTTGGGGAAGAACCACACAAACAGCCTTAGATGTTTTTTAAATGCAGCAAATAAAAATTCCGGAGGGTACTTGCTTCCAAAATAAACTGGGTATATTTGCTTTGAAACCTGCCCCAGACAGGTGTCTGTCTCCTGAGTCCCCTTTGGCACGAGCAGGAAACCTCTCAGGTCGGGGTGGGGCAAAATGGGTGTTGGGGGGTGGCTGGACTAGGGCAGTGCTGTGTCGAGGCTGTTTGTATGCCCTTGCTAGCTGGGGTATTATATCTTTCTTTTTGTCCTTGAAGTCTCTGATCATGGGCCGAACTTTTCCATGCCACATCCCTGCTGCCCACCCACCCAGCCACTGAGCAATGCCAACACCCAGCTGGCCTCTATTATGTTTGCTGGGTTGGGGGGCGGGCAGTGTGGGATGTTGAGTGCTTTTGCTTTATTCTGGTGTACATTAGAGCAGCTAAAATGTTGGTTTATGGTTATAACGCCAGGTTCATTTTTATGGCAGGGAGGAGGGATGGAGTTCTTGACCCCAGTTGGGTTGACATGCCACGGTTCAGCCTGGGGGCCAACTGAGTTGAGCCCTTCAGGAGGCCCGGCTCAGCTACCCCAGACCCGTACTGAGTCCTGGTGAAGCCCTTCCCTGGGAGGGACTTCAGAGGCCCGGGGTGGCTCCCTTACCTTCCTGCAGGTGTTACTCTGGTAAAGAGGAGGTGCCCAACCCCACGGACAATCAGAAAAGCCTGTTGTGTGCAGCCGGTTGGGGGGTGGGGGTCCTTAATGCTGGTGTGTCGCTCCCAAGCTTTAGTTACATCCCCTCCTCAGTCCTAGCAGCACGGCCCAGGGCCTAGATTTAACAGTTGTTTCCTCCCCTAAAATTCACGGGTGAGGACAGGACCTCATCCCTTTGCTCCCCTCTTGTCTGTGAAGCCCAGCTGGGTTGTTTCCTCAGGAAGTGCCGGTGGTGGTGCTCAGCCTCCTCTAAGTTGTCTGCTTGGGGTGGGTGGTGTCCGGCTGGAACTCAGGTGTGGGGTGCTGGGGGCCCTGCCTACTCCTTGCCTGGTGATCCTGGACACAGCCCCACCTGCAGGAAACACAGGCTACTGGGGTGGGGGCCCCAAAGAAGGATCACTTGCCACGTGGCACCCCTCTGTGTCTGCTCCTCAGCTGCTTCCTCAGAGTTCTGTCTTGGATGCACAGTACATTTTCTGTCCCCTTTAAACTTTACCCATCCTGCAAGCAGCATCGTGAATGTGCTCATCCCACCCTACCAGCCACTGGGCTCTTCACTGGCCCCAAGCCCACTTTCCCTGCAGATTCCTGGCAACATGGCAGAACAAAGGCCTCCTGGACCTTCCACGTTTCCCTGTTGAGCTACTATGTGGAGTTGGAAGTAATAGCCCTTAGGCGGCACTCAACAAATCAGTCCCTTTTATCCCACTTCCCCTGGGATGGTTTCTCCCTCCTCAGGGCCCTCAGGTGGCCTTCAGAGGCTGAGGCAGGGCAGCATGGATGGAGGCGGTATGTAGAAGCATAGAAACAGGAGCTTTATTCTCTAAGGTGCATACAGCAAGTTCCTTACACAATCAAGGAAATGGTTTCTCTTTCAGGCTCTTTTATCAAAAGAAAATCCGTCATGCTTAGTCCCACCCTGGGCAGAAGCTGCCCTGAGCAGAGTTCCGGACCCAAAGCAAAAGGCTAATGGGAAGAGAAGCAGACACACACCTTGGAGCCCCCTCAATGCCCAGACACCCTAGGCCACTTGGGACAGTTGTGAGGGGGTGCAGCACAGAGCAGCACCCCAAGATACCCACACACAGCCACAGAGCCAGCCTGGGAAGACCCAGAGGGATGGGCAAATGGGGTGTGGCCAGGGCCTGGTAGTCAGGACCTCAGTGCTCAGCGTCCATGGCGTCCAGGTACTTGGCTTCAATGATTTGGGGCAGCAGGTTGTAGCTGAGGGGAGGGGGAACAGGCAGGAGGATAAGCATTGGGTCAGGGAGGAACAGGCTGAGGGTAGCCACTCCAGCCCACTGTCTCCCGCCCAGCTGAGTCCCTCCTGCCTGCTGGCCACCCTCCTGTACCGGATGGGGATCATGGCGATCATGATGAGGGGAAAGATCATCTTCATGTAGGGCAGGGTGCTCATGCCAAAGGCACAGAGCAGCAGCAGCTGCAGGACCTGCAGGCCTGTGAAGTAGTGGATCTTCCTCTGGGGCACCCTCCGGATGTAGTGGGTGGGTGGGTATGAGGTCTGTGGGTGGCAGGGGCCAGGTGTGGGCAGGTCTGCAGCCATATCCCCCACCCCCACCCCTCACTCTCAGGGCCAGACACTCACTTGGTCCTTGAGCAGCAGGACCATGCGTGCAAACAGCTGGTTGCCGTCGATGGAGGTGAGCGCGATGTAGAGAAAGAGGCCGTAGAGCACAGGCTTGGGGATCCACTGTAGCGGGAAGGGCAGCAGCAGGAGGGAGAAGCCTACCAGGATGCTGGCGCCCAGGGAGGTCAACCGCGTCTCCTTCACACTCACAATCCTGCGAGGTTCCAGTGCACTGGGTCACCTCCGGCCTGGTCCACAGGGCCGTGTCCATCCCACGTCACATATGCTTCCTGGGCTCTGTTACTTCTGGGCCCTTATCCCCCAAACCATATCCTTCCTTAGGTCATATGTGGCCCAGGGCTACCCCCCACCTCAGGGTCCACGTGACTGGCCCCACGTCTCAAGGGGCCACTTTCACACTCACGTCTCGTAAATGTGCCCATTCTCCACACGCTCCTCCACCAAAGCTAGTGCCCGCACGTGCAACGGCGAGTGGGGGTAGGCAGCGTGGATCCAGGGCAGCCCAAACAGAGACAGCCCGGTGTTGATGATGGCGATGAGCAGGAGGTCCCAGTGGTAGGCAGTGCCCTTTACCAGCCTGCAGCAGGCAGGGTCACATGTGGACAAAGCCCCATGGCCCCTGGAGGGCTGGACACACGCTTACCCCTCCCTCCCCAGCCCTGCGAACCTGTTCTCTGGGGCATTAGCCAAGGCAGCCACCAGGTTCTGCTCGATGAAGAAGAGCATGGAGAGGAGGAAGCCGAGGCCCATGGCGCCGCTGACGGCCACCAGCGATAGCGAGTGCATCTCGGCCATCTCGAACAGGCTCTTGCTTGGGTTGTAGCGGAACTTGCCCACTGCAGCCGGGTACAGGCCCCTGCTCAAGCCTTCCTCCCTGACAGCGACCCACCACACCCCACGCCTAGTCCCAACTCACTCTTAATCTCCTGGAAGCCGTAGGAAGAGATGAGGGAGAAGGTAAGCACTGAGATGGGCAAGGCACAGTCTGACAGGATCTCACGCATGTAGGGGTGCAGGTAGGGGCTAGGGAGGCAGGTGGGTGTCAGCGTGGCCTGTGGCTTGTGCTCCCTTCCCCTCACCCTGAGTGGGCACCCCTCACCTCTTCTTGAACTGGTAGAGGGTGTAGCTCAGCCAGAGTGTCCCCAGCATGATGAGGAGGCTGAGCACAGCCGTGTCCCGGGCCAGGGGCTCGGGGCCCTGGCTGCCCACTGAAGTCAGCTCTGGTGGGCCGGCCAGGAGGCTGGTGTTGAGGGCAGCGTGGAGGCTGCTGTTGAGGCTGGGGCTGAGGCCCAGCAGGCTCACTGAGGAAGACCTATCTTCGTAGTAGTTCCCGTGGTTGTGGCCACAGTAGTACTTCTGGAAGACTATGGACACAGGCCAACAGGACTCAGCCATCTGGGCTCTGGGAGCCTGGGGCCCAGCAGCTTCCTCCTGGATGTGGGGGTGAAGGAGCCCCGAGGGGAGGAAGGGATTCTGGGGGGAGGAGGGGAGAGAGCTGGCCTTCTGTCAGCCAGGACCCCTTCACCTGCCTATCTACCCACCACCCCACACCCTGCCCTTGTCCATTTCTGACAGCAAATCCTGCCTGGCCCAGGGCCTCTGATCCTGCTTAGGGCAGCTCTGTCACCTGCTAGCACGTGGGCCTGCTGCTCTTTGCCAGTCATGGCTCCCGAGCACCCTGGGCCATGGAAGCAGCCTGAGCGCTTGCATGCTTGGCTGCTCTGGGCACAGTCCATAGCCCCCCATCTCAACTCAGCTTCCCCTGCAGCAGGTGGCCGCTGGCAATACACTCACTTTTGACCATGCCCTTGACAGCATCCAGCACGAATGTGATGGAAATGAACAAAGCAATGATCTCCTCCGTTGACCTGCCAGCAGGGGATATGCCTCATAAGACGGGGTGAGTTAGTAGTGGGGAGGCTTCCCCGAGCCTCAGCATGACCCCCTACCTCCTGCCATGAAGGGGACCAGGGTCCTAGGCTTTCCCCTTGGAGCAGTGATATGGTGGGGGCACCCCATCTGCTCTAGGCTTAACAGGGCCTCAGAGGCTGGCATGGAAGCTGACCCAGGCCCCTGGCCTTGGTCTCCCTCCTGCTAGTGAGTCCCAGAAGCTTAGGGAAGGCCCTGTCACCTCTTGAAGAGACTCATGACCAGGCTGAGGTTGAAGAGGGCATAAAGCGCGAGGAAGAAACTGTTCCACAGGCCTGTCCATGCATAGAAGGTACTGAAGTCCAGATTGTAGTCATCACAGATGCCACGGATCACTGCAGGCGGCGGGACAGGAGTGAGCAGTCAGGGCCAGGCTGGGACCAGGGACCTCAGGAAGCATCTCCCCACTGCCGCCCCCACTGCACCGTGGATGTAGAGGGCCAGGGGTGCGGTCGTCAGCAGCACCACCAGCGGCTGCCCAGAGAAGAGTGCGTACAAGAGGCCTCCGATGCTCTGCCCAGCTATGGTCTTCTGTACATCTGAGGAAGCGGGGCGGTCAGGGGGACCGTGGCCTTGGGCCCCACCCGGCATATGCCCCACCAGGCTCCAACCCCTCACCAATGGCCCCGTTCGTGTTCTCATCGTTGAGGGACCCAAAAGCAATCGTGGGCAGGAGGCAGGCGAAGTAGAGGAACAGGGTGGTGGTGATGTATTTGCCCACAGCTTTGTTTTTCCCGATAATGCCTAGGAATGGGAGACAGGGTGGAGGGTGTGCTGGGGACACAGGACAGGCCTGGGGCCTGAGGTACAGGCCGAGCTCCAGGAGGGCCATGGGCCACTTACCATCAGTGAAGTCCAGTGGGTACACGGGGAATCTGCGGGCGATGTCCTCCCGGATGCCCCTCCCCATGGGGAGAAAGTCCTTGTGCCGTGGGGGCTGGGAAGAGGACACGCGCTCATCAGCCCTGTGTCCCTGCCCCGTGCTGCCCGCCCAGGCCACCTCTGCCCTGCACCTGCGGGGGTCTGTGGGTGCAGATGGAGCTCATGCTGTAGTCCTTCGTGCTGATGCTCGGACAGTGGCTCATTATGGTAAGCAGCTGTCTCTGATGTACCAGGGCCTCCTTGAATTCCTCCTCCGTGCGGGTCTTCAGGAGCTTCTGGCGGAAGGTGATGTCTAAGAACATGGTGGCAAACGTGCGTCCCACCTCCGTCGCAGTCTTGGTGCTTTTCTGGGGATGGGGCAAGAGAATCACATCTGTAGCCACTGTAGAGCGAAGGGTGCCCAACCCCGGCCTGGCCACTCATGGACAGACATTCCCAAGCACGTGGCAGGTGCTCTCCCCATGACCCAGGTGTAGTCCCCCAAAGTTCAAGCATAGTGGACCCTGCCATGATTTCCACCAGGTCAGCAGATCACTAGAACTACCATCAACCTAGTATTTTTTTTTAATAAACTCAGGTATTAAATCTGTGTAATTGTGGATAATGAAATCATGATGATGGAGAAAAATGTTCACCCAGCTACTTTTCACTGGTGGCATTTGCATGGTCGGCTGGTTTATGATTTTCAGAGGGGTTCCACGCCCATCCAGCCTTCTGCCTCTTGCCTGGCCAAGCTCAACCCTGTCCATGAACTCAATGTTCAACCTCCACCACAGCAGCCTGTCTCACCGCCCCAACCTAGGTCCCCTGGGAACAGCATGCACCGCACCCCCCCCCCCACCCCCCCGCCGCATGCTGCCCAAAGCTACAGTCCCGGGGCTGCACCGTGCACACTGTGCTTACTGGTAACTTTAGAACAGGCTTGTTCCCCCGAGGAGGAGCCAGGTGTCAGGATGGCTGGCATGTCTCAAGGCACCAGTCTAGCCACTCAATCATAGGGATTCTATTCCTTCCAGCTGTTCTGGCCACCTTGTCAGCTGTCACTCCCTCTGACCCATGAGCTGCCCACTGCCCTAAATGCCCTTCCTCTCTCCCCAGCACAGTAACATCTGGAGAGATTCACAGCATGTCTATGAAAGCCCTGGGAGGGACGATCCCGTTAGCACCCCCTTTGTTTAGAGAAAGACTGGGGAGGGGCCATCCGAAGCTCTGAGTCTACACCAGAGGCAGGGGCAGAATCATCAAGAAGCCAGTGGAATCTTAAGCATTAAGGCCCTTCCCAGGCCTGGGGAGGGGCCCTAGTTATTTTCTATTAATGACTTTAAAATCCTTTTCCATAAAAGAAGATTCCCCAAACTGTATAAGTCTCAGCCCCCACAAAAGCGAGATGCCCCTGGCCAGGGGGTAAATGCCCCAGGAAGGAGTGGGGATCTTTGGTCAACAAATCATAGCCAACTAGAGTTAGGGTTGGGCAGGCCAAAGAAAGGCCCCTATGTTTGAATAGTAATAATCTTAAAAAGTATCTCTTGGGCTTCCCTGGTGGCGCAGTGGTTGAGAGTCCGCCTGCCGATGCAGGGGACCCATCTACACAATGGAAGAAAATATTTGCAAACCATATATTTAATAAAGGGTTAATATTTTAAATGTATAAAAGGAACTCTTACTACACAATAGCAACAAAATAAATAACCTGATTAAAGGTGCTCAACATCAATAATCATCAGGGAAATGCAAATCAAAACCACCACGAGATATCACCTCACACCTGGTAGGATGGCTTTGCTCAAAAACAAACAAACAAACAAATAACAAAATAAAACCCCAAAAGATAACAAGTGTAGGCAAGCATGTGGAGAAAAGGGATGCCTGGTACACTGTAGGTGGGAAAGTAAATTGATACAGCCACTATGGAAAACAGTATGGAGGATACTCAAAAAACTAGCAATAGAATATGTTAGTTTTCTAACTAGAATATGATTAAGCGATCCCACTTCTGGTTACACATCACAAGGAACTGAAATCAGGATCTCAAAGAGATATATACACTCTCATGTTCAGTGCAGTATTATTCACAGTAGCCAAGATATGGGAGAAACCTAAATTTCTATCAATCAACACAGAATTTGCAAACGAAGCGACTGACATGGGATTAATCTCCAAAACATACAAACAGCTCATGCAGCTCACTATCAAAAAAACAAACAACCCAGGACTTCCTGGAGGTCCAGTGGTTAAGACTCTGTGCTTCCATCACAGGGGGCAGGCACGAGTTAGATCCCTGGTCAGGGAACTGAGATCCCACATGCCACGTGGTGGGAAAAAAAAAAAAAAAAAGTATCTCTTTTCAGTCAGGAAAGAAATAGAACCTTTTGGGCAACTTCTGGGGAAATTAGGCCTTGATGAAAACCTACCAAGTATGCTTCAGATAAACCCCAGTAGGGCAGAGATGAACAGAGAGGGTGAGAATGTGGCCTTCAGAGGCCAGGACTGTGGTGTCTCCAGCACTGGGAGAGATGCCCCCAAGAAGAGGGCAGGGTAACCTGGAACCCTCCTTCCTGGGAAACAGAGCAGCCACCCGAAACCCCTCCTCACCATCTTGGGTGGGGCCAGCACTAGGATGACAAACCGCACCTCACAGGAATTCTCCCCCCAGTTCTGCGGGCGAACCAGGCGGCTGATGCACACATGCCGCTTCAGCAGAGCCTTGGAGGTACAGCTGGCAGGGACAGAGAGGACACACAGCACACAGTTGCCACCCTTGGGAGCTGGGGTTCCCCTCTCCCCGAGCCCCCAACTATGACCCCAGTGACCTCTGTTAGGGAGGAAAAAAAAGACCAAATGGGATGGATTCCTCACTCTCCCTGCAAACTGAGCGAGCCAGCCTCCACAGGGACTGGATGCCTGGCTCCAAGGTGACGTGGGGAGGCCAGTTGTGGCGGCCTGGCAACTCACATGATGCAGAGCCACGACTGCTGGTATTGCACCCCCGTTACTGTAGCAGTGACCCCTTGGATGGTATCTGACAGTAGGTGAACTGCTGACAGAGTGGAAGGAACAGGAGGGTCAGATGGCCCCACCTCCCTGACCTCCCGCCCAGGCAGAGGGACAGCCCTTACCTTTACCCTCCATGGGGGCCCCAGCATCAGTGAAGAGCATGGCCATGAGCAGGTCCAAGTTGCAGTCGGGCTCGGTGTTGTGGGAGTCTTGGGCTAAGCGGCACAGCATGGCCCGTAGCACGTCATCCAGGGAGGTGGCTGTCTCGTTCAGGATGATGCTGGCCCGTGCCAAGAAGCCATCTAGGTCCCGGTGCGCTCGGATCTCTTCCTCAAAGTTCTTTAACTTCAGGTACTGTGGGGGCCCCACACACAGAACCACACAGGCCCATAAATAAGAAAGACCTGTCTCTGTCTGGGTCCTTCCTCTGTGGTGGTCCCCGGCTGACCCTGCCCACCAGGACCCGGCACCCCCTTCCCAGAGAGAAGACCAGCAAGGTTGGCCCCAGCAGCCAGGCCCTGGGCTAGTATGAGATCCAGCATCAGTGTGAGCTCTCTCAGGGAAGCAACCACCTCCACCCCCAGCTAGTGGCCCAGGACCAAATGTCTCCCATCCGGTCAATGGGCCACTTACCTTGCGGGAGGTGTGTAGGAGACCGTAGCCTCCAGGCGATTCACTCTCTGCTGGAGGAAAGTGGGAGGGCTCAGGGGGTAGCCCCAGCCCTTCAGGTCTCTCTTGGTGGAGCAGGGCCGTATCTGCCCAGTCCCCAGTCCCCTGCGTGCCTCCCCCGACCCGTCCCTGCTACAACCCCCATACCGGACTGGGTGGGCTGCACCTCGAGGTTGACGTTGACAAAGAAGTGGATGCTCTCGCCAGACACAATGGAGGAGTTGACTGTGTCGAAGGCCTCATCCCCCAGGCTCTCCTCACGGGTTTCAGAGGCATCATCCACGTCACACTTGAGGTAGCCTGGAGCCCCAACCACCACCAAGAGAGACCCCCCCAAGAGGGCCTGGCTACACACAGGACAAAGGGGCTCCAAGCCAAAGGAGCAGGGGCCCCTGGGCTGTCCCACTTGGTACAATCTCGGTGAGTGGTAAGGGAGGCCTCTAGCAGGCTAGGAAGGAAGCCTCAGCTAGGCCCAATATCTGGTCCTGGCCCAGCCCCCTGAGTATGGCAGCCAGCTGGCACCCCCCACCCAACGGTTTTCTCCAACATTCTTCAGCAGCGGGAACCCTGCACTGTTCTGTGCCACACATATCCTTTAGCTAGAGAAAGAACATGTTCATTCCACAGACACTGAGCCAGGCACATGGTACAATGATGTAGTTAAGACTGACTGGCCCCTGCCTTCTCAGAACCTCCAGGTTGTGGGACCTGGACCTGTCTGGCTCCCCAGAAGCGACTCAAGGAAAGCCAGAGCCCTGCAGTATCTGGACCTCATTGGCACAGGGAGGGCATGTGGGGCAAAGCATCAAGGCTGAGAGACCTTAGTCCAACATCAGACAAGGCCCAGGAAGCAAGAGAGCCAGACAAACAGAGCCAGAGACAGAGGTGACAGGACCCCAGAGGAGGCCTCATCTCAGGCCTCCACCCATGGTGGGCGAGGGCATGTTATGGCACCTTGGGACTCCAGAGCACAGAGCCTGCTGCCCCTTTCTTTTGGTCTGCCTCTCAGTTCCTGCAACTGACCCCCAACACAGGCCCCCTCCTATAGGAAGCCTTCCTGATGACATGCAAAAGTTCCAATCTGCCCTGAGTCCTGCTGGGGCTCCCCACAGCCTCTGGGATGACAGCCTGAGCCAGCCCTGCTACCCCTGGCCCCTCAGGCCCAGTCCCACACCGCCCACCTCAATCTCTCACTCCTTAGGCCAAGCGGCCAGCACCCCAGGCATGCCAGCTCCTGTCCTCCAAGCTGAGGGCTTCCCTCCCTGGAGGGCCTTCTTCAAGGCTTGACAGACCCTTTCTTCTCTGGCAAGTCCACCTAGGGCCCTCCCTGCCTTACTCTTGGCCCAGCTGACACCTCTTCCTCACTGTCCTGTGGGTCCCCTGTGGTCCACCACTTGTGATTCACCCAGGAGCCCTTGTAGCTGAGACCCCACCGATGCCTGAAAAACACCTGTGCAGGAACAGGGACGGGTCAGCAGCATGCCTCCACCTGCCAGGCAGTGACTCACCCTGACTCACTTCCACTCCCTCCCACTGGTTTCCTCTGCACATCCCAGGCCCAGTTCCCCCAATGTCCTGTGCTCAGCCTGGGCCCTTTCTGGGTAGGAGGCACTAGGCCTCCCCTGTCAAGGCCATCGTGGACTGGTGACCCCTAACTCCAGGTCTGCACTGCACCCAGAGCCCAGAGAAGAACTATGAAGTCGAAAGATGTCATTCCCCCATTTGTCATGGAGCTCACGTCATTGAAAAACACCTTCCTCCCCAATTCTAGACCTGCTTTGCTTAGAATGCTTGGTTCCCCAGCCCCAACCTGTCCCAGCCTCCCTTCTGTCTCCCCCACCGGCACCCACTATTCCCCGGCATATGCCTCTCACACTGTCCCTCTTCTCCCCTGTCCTGGGCTCTATCTAGGACCTACCCAGCAGACACTACCAGCTCCCTGCAAGGCTCCTGGGATGCCATGTGTGCCCTATCTCCACCCTATAGCGCAATCACATACCTAACCTGCCCACCAGCAGCCTGGCACATGCAGTCACCATGCCCTGGGGACCCTGGGTAGGAGCACATCACTGCTGTGTCCAAGCACTGTCCCACTAAACACCCCTCTGAGGCCAGCTCCCGAATCTGGGCTCAGGAGAGGCAGCACAGAGCCAGCCCAGAGATATGGGGAGGGAGAGAGCTAGGCTGGTGCAAGCAGAGAAAGCTGAGGTGCAGAGAGGTTACAATTCTTTAGAGGGACAATGGCAGCCCCTCCCTCACAGGGCTGGGCGGGGTCTGAGGAATGTGGGCACACACAACACTTAGCCTATAAGCTAGTCAGACAACCAGAGCATTGTAACAGCAAAACAGATGGTCCACATAGTGCAGGATGGGAGCAGCCTGGCCTCCCAGGACCACAGGACCACCAGAGATCTGCCAGAGTCCAGGGCAGTGTCAGCTGCCCCTCTGACCACATCACAACCTTCTGGAGGGTAGAATCCAAAGGCATCCCAGCACCAGCAGAGGACCATGAGTACCCAGGTGGATGGACTAGGTCCCCTAGAGACTTTTGACCAAGGAGCTCTCTAGAGACACACACCCATACCTGAAATGTACTCACCTGCATCCTCTAAGTATCCATTCTGCGACATGATAGAAGAGTTTTCTGCAAGGCAAGCCAAAGAATTGTCATCAGCTCCATGCACCAGCCCCGGACAGTCTTCAGGGCACATCTGCTGCCCACCACACACCAATCCTGCTGAGTCTTTCTTACCCTTCCCAGAGACCCTGGGAGAAAAAGGAGCAGGGGACAGTACAAGACAGGGGCTCCTTGAGGAGCCACAGGAAGCCAGGCCTGTTATTCTTCAGCCCATCTGCTAGGGGCTGCCCAGGTGGGAAAGGACCGAGGCAGACAGGGAGATGTTTTCAGCATGTTTTCTGCAGGAGTAATTAACAGTACCCGGTGAAGGAAGGAAGGATTCGCTTGTTGCTGGAGTCTGGAGGGAGGAGACCCGTCTGGCCACCTTCCCTGTGGAAGCCGGCCTCCCTCTCTCAAGCCTTCGCTGCCAAGCCCAGTAACTGGGCTGGGGCTCTTCCAGCACATTTCGGCTCTCACTCTCACGTCGGTCCCTGGTGCCATCAACACCCATCACACGTGCAGTTGCCCACAACCGCACGCGCCAGGGGTCACACTGGGGCGACCCGGCAACGGCCTCCTGCCCTCAGCACCACCCACTTTCTCCTGGGAGGCGGAGCCGTTGGTCCTCTTGGGAGATGCCGCGGGGTGGGGGAGGAAGAGAGCTGTCCGCGCTCTCAGCGCCGGGCCCCGGATGGATGGTCCGGGCGGTTTGTGCCTCGCTGTGCGAGAAAGGAAGCGACAGGAAGGGCCGCGTGCACGAGAGGAAAGCGCCTCCAGACTCGGAGACCCTGCGGGTCGGGGGGCAGGATGCGGACGGACTCCCGGGGCGGGAGCCCGGGCGGCATCTGAAGGGAGGGGCGGGGTCAGTAAAGCTAGCACCAGAGGCTGCAGGGATGGGCAAAGGACGAGGATGACGATGGTATGGAAGGGTGGGGATGCTACTCCCATGCGGGGCGGTTCAAATGCACGTAAATAGATGGTCGTACAAACCCCGGGCGTCAGAGCAGCGACGGAGAGACTGCTGCGGCCGCGCAGGGGACACAGTCAGAGGCCCAAGGATCCCTAAGAGTGGGCAGGCTGCCGCGCAGCGCCAGGGACGGGAAGGTGTCTGGTAGAACGTAAAGAGAGGCTTTCCGAGGTGGCTGCACGCCCGGCTGCGAAGACCCTGGCGCTCCAGGTGCTAAGGACCCCGCAACTCCGCCCCGCCATTTGCAAACCCCCCACCCCTCCACCAGCTACCTCGTAGGTTGAAAAGCTGTTAAGCGTTTCAAAACGGTGTTAAGTCAAGCGCGTAGTGCCCTCGAAGTCGTCCTGGGCTTCCCCCAGCCACCCGCGTACCCACCCGGGCTCCCACTCCCTCGTGGCTGAACTCACCCCGGGCACGCCCGTCCCGGTTGGGAAGCCCCCACGACCCTCTCGCCCACCACGCCGGGGGCCGGTGCAGGCCGACGGCGTCAGCATTCCCCCCAGCGCCTCGACGGCTCCGCGTCCCAGCTTAGCACGCCTCTGCGACGGAGGCCGGACGGCCTTCCAGCCGCAGGCACCCACCGCATGGCTGGAGATGGAACACGCGCCTGGTGGCCGCAGCCGTGGCCCCAGCGATCAGCCGCGGGACGGCTGCACACCAGTGCGCACGCCCTGGCTCCTCACCAGGTGCCGCGGGACCCCAACCTCGGCGTCCAGGGCGGGCCGGCGGCTGGAGCCGGTGACACAAGCCTGCGCCGCGCCTGGGTCCTAATGCCGCGCCAACGGTCATCCCCAGCGCGGCCCGGGCGGGGTCCCGACCGCCCGCCCCGCGCCCTCACCCGCGCTCCAGTTCAGCCCGGGCGGGCTACTCCCGGGAGCCCGCGGCGACTTAGCCAGAACGCGTAGACTGGGCTTCTTCGGGCCCGCGCGCTGAGCGTTAGGGGCCGAGCGGGGCTGCGAAGTTTCTGGGAAGAAGCTCGGTGAGCTCGGAGACCCTCGGAGTTGAGGCAGTGAGGCGGGTCTGGGTAGGGCCTCCCTGCAGTCGGCTTTAAGCTCTCGGCCGGGCCCCCTCATGCCCTCCTCTCGGCAGGGGGCCTCTGCTGGGCCCAGTCCTCCTGGGCCCCGCCCCCTCCATTCATCCCGGCTGCTCGAGCGGTAAATCCTCCTAGTCCTCCTCCAGGAAGCGCACCCCGACTAACTACACGGGCGGGCGCGCGTTCTCTGGGCTACGCCCTGCCCCGCGGAGCCCGCTGCCCTCCCGGCTCGGTGGCGTCGGGTTTACTGGCAGCGCGCCTCGCGGTTTCTCTCCCGGCCTCGTTGCGCCCTCGGCCTTCTCTTGGGTCAAGGTCTTGGCTTGCGGCTTTTTTCCTTCTCAAGATGGCCCCGCCGCCCGGTTTTCCTTCCCGGACACGAGGGAGCCCGGCCCGGGGACGCGCCTTCTCCGGCGCCTGGTCCTCTGCAAGCAAAGTATGTGTTCGGGGGGAGGGGTGCGGGGTGGGGCGCGAGCTCTCTCGTGT